CGTATATTCCCTTCTTGTTCTCCAGCCCATTTGTGCATTCTTTCCAAAAATCAGGACTTTTACAAAACGCAGCGGGATGCAGGACAAGCGAGACTGTCCTGCCAAAATCGGGACGTCTGGTCACCCTATTCTAACTATTTTCACATGACAGTAGCAATAAGGTAAAATAATAAAGAACATCCATCCGTTCTAACTGCTAAATGTTCAAGAAGTTAAAATTGTTAGTATCATTAAGAATTTTAAAATTCCAATTACTCTTTGGCGCTCATCTTCCAAACCTGTAGTGTAAGACAGCAATCTGGTAGGACATTTGTCACAATCTGGTGCCAGGCTGATTTTATAGGTCTCATGGAAGAGAGAGTGGACGTCCCCTTCCTCATTTCCCATTGTTTTATGCCACCTCCCCCAATACACACGCATCCTACCACAAACAGTAAGCTCACTTTCAGAAGTATAAGTAGTCTTATTTCTTCTTTTTTTTTTTTTTAAATAAATTTTACTGTGTAAATTTTACTGGTGTTGAGGTTTACAACATCATATATTTTGGGATACATATAATTAGTAAAATGGTTATTTTAGTGAAGCAAATTATCTTGTATACTTTTTTTGTAACAAGAGCAGCTCTACTTGTTTTACAAAAATTCTTAATATAATTTTATTAAGTATTTTTTCTTCTTAATGTAAAACCTTTCATTCTTCATTTTTTAAGTCACTATTTACCACTCATCTTCCACAGAACAACATGGTCATTTGTTTTATTTGGCTTTTAAATATATTTGTTTTTAAAAAATAAATATTAAGGGCGGCGCCTGTGGCTCAAAAGAGTAAGGTACCAGCCCCATATGCTGGAAGTGGTGGGTTCAAACTTAGCCCCAGCCAAAAAGAAGCAAAATAAATAAATAAATATTAACATTTAGAAAACATAAAATGAAAATGTGAAATTTCTAGTTGTATATATATGAGAGTATTTTACTTGTATAGGCTATTAATTTGCCTTTCTTTATTTTTTAAAGACAGAGTGTCACTCAGTTGCTCTGAGGATAGTGCCATGGAGTCACAGCTCAGAGCAACCTCAAATTCTTGGGCGCAAGTGACTCTCAGCCTCCTGAATAGCTGGGACTATGGGTGCCCACCACAACACCTGGCTAATTTTATTTTACTAGAGATGGGGGTCTCACTCTTGCTCCGGTTGTTCTTGAACTCCTGAGCTCATAGGCTGATGATTTAAAATGAGAATTACTATAGATCTTAAAAGAACCAAAGAATATATCTGAATTTCATTAAAATCTTCTTCACCTGTATAGTCCCCTTTCAGAGTTCCTGAGATGTCACATCTAAGAAGAGTAAGGAGTAGGGTGCTCAACACACCTGAACACTACCAACCCTGCTGTCTCTGGAGGACTTTATGAAAAGATGGGACATAAATGATATACTGTTAATACTGTTATAAAATCTAGTGAACATCATATATAAATAACTCAAAATAGAACTATTTCTTTTAAGGCTAATTGACAAATCTATCTTAATTTTTGTCTCTATACATTTAGCATTATAGAAATCATGGCCTTCAAGTTCAACAAAATCTATCTAAAGAGAAAAATTCAATCCAACCCAGTGAACTTGTTTTGTTAATATAACTGCCAGTAGGAAGGTCAAGAAAACAAAGTACAACAATCAACTGCGATACCTGAGATGCAGAATCACAGTTGTCATTTACTTCACAAAACGGAAATGCAGAAGTCAATGGAAGGCATAAGGCCCACTCACGCTGAGGTACGGTATGTCATGATCAGGGGCATGGAGTATCTACAAGTGATGTTTTGAAGATATAATACAATGATAAAAGGGCACATTCAGGTATTAAGGTACTGGAACTATGATGAAACGCTGAATCACCATTTAATTTTTTAAGAATGAAATACTTCTTATGAGAAACAAACACTTCACCAACTGCTGCTTACCTTCATGACGTCTCTGTACGACCGGATGGCTGAGACCTTCCTCTTTTCATCATCTCCATCTTCCAGGCCTTCATCTGCAGCCTCATAGCCCTCATCATCGCCACCATCAGCTTCTACTGTGTTGGCCATAAGATCAATGAGTTGCTCCAGGGGAGGGCTCAACTCCCTTTCTTCATTCTCCTTCAAACCATAGTCCAGTGCTTTATAAATAATAATTCCCAAAGATTCAATAACCTAGGAATATTAAAGACAGTGGTGAATGGGGATGATTGAGCAGTTTTAAAATGCACAAATTATTCAGCATGATATTTAAGCTTAGTTTTACTTATTCTATTTCAGAAACATGAGAAATTACATTTGAAGAGAAACTTAAGTCTTACCTGTGCATAGAAAAAAAACCACAGATATAAAAATTTGTGTGATTTCCTCAAACCAAAACAGAACACATACACAAACTTTTTACATTTTTTAGATTTACACTGTTGATAAAACTTATATTATCCATTCATATCAAAGACTAAATAGATTGATATCCCACATTCCCAAAAGATACTTTTGAGAATAGACCTGGTTATCAAAGAAAATGTCCTTTCAGACCTGTTATGCCAATGTTTATTTACTAAGAGATTTCACAGACATCCCAAGAACCTGAGAGACTGAAAATTCCATCATGGGTAGCAGTAACTTCACCCTAAATAAAAAAAACTATTAATATCCATATATATATTGCCCATCCAGTTCCATTTAATCACTAAAAACATGTCTCATAGGATGCAAATAAATGAAAGCCTTTTTCAAACCTTGAATATTCAACATAGGGTAGAGATAATCCTCCTGACCATCCCCCTCCAACATCCCCCTCCGTGACATGAATCTGATTTGTGAACACTGACTACATCACTGTGAACACCACCCCATGCAGTGATACGAACCTTATTCGTGAACACCCCACCACAGTGATATGAACCTGATTCATGAACACTGGCTACATCACTGTGAACACCCCCTCCCCACAGCGATATGAACCTGATTCATGAACACTGGCTACATCACTGTGAACACCACCCC